TCCCGCCGGGCGCCCTCCGCCGGGCCTCCGCGGCGCCGGGGTCCAGAAGGACGCACGGGGTGGCGGGAGGGCCGGCGGGATCTGGAACCCGGAGAACTCGCCCTGCCGATGTCTTTTATTTCTTATTAGCGACCACGTTCTGTGCTCTTGGAACGACGTCTCGCCTTTGAACGCAGCCGGACTCTGTTATTAGCGGTGCTCTACCGAGGCCTGGGGTTGCCCCAGCGCGCCGAGCGCCAATTTGGACGTAAGGACAATACTTTTCCCTGGCGGCCATTCGCGCCGACCAGAGTTCGCTCGGGTTGCCCTTTTCCCACCGCCCGGCAGCCGCGGAGGCCCGAAGGGCCCTGCGGCCTTGCACGGTGGGAGTGGGGCCTGGTACGGCGATGTCTGTGCCGGATACAGATAGGGAAGTCGAGGCCAAGAGCGACCAAGCTGCTCTGAGGGGCCGGGGAAGGAATCCAGGGGCAGGCAACCAGTGATTTCTAATCTCTGAAACCAGTGGTTCCCAACTGGTTGGGCCAAGAAACGCTCACACGTGAAATAACGTCGCGGCTTAGTGGGTTATAATAGCAAAGGCGTTGGGTCCACGGATAACGCGTCAATCCGGCTTCCTGCACACACTAGCTGGGTGGCCTCAAGACAATGACTCCGCCTCCCACATGGAGGTTATAAGTATCCATCTCACCCAGTGCTGGAGAGGAACAGGAGATGAGCACCTGTTACCCGCCCAACGTTGGTAAACTGAGAGCTGATTTTTCTTTTAAGATTTTAAGTAATCTCTGCCCCCAAGGTGGGGCTGGAACTCACAACCCCAGGATAAACAACCTCAAGCTCCGGAGACTGAGCCAGCCAGGTGCCCCCCGAGTTGATTTTTAAGCAGATGCTCCCCTTTTCTTTGTGTTCCAAAGGTCTACCCAGATATTTCCAACAAGCTGTGTTGAATTGTGGAGTTCCGACTCTTCCCTCTGAATCACTACGTCCTCTCCTCCCCGAGTTTTCTTTCGCTCGTATCTAACATTACTGATTTTTCTGAGTATTTCTAAAATGGGCCCCGTTTGAGAAATACTGCACAATAATGCGTCTCTCCAATACCTACCACCCCCCCACCACCAGCCTCAACAAGTTTTATCATTCTCCTCCGTGGAAGGGTGGAGATGAAAAACCCTTGCAGAGAAACCTACGAGTCTACTTCCGTTGTTGGACAGAGTTACAATAAATTGAAACTGTCTAAGCTGTCGGGTTGGTGGGGTGTTTTTGGTTTTGTTTTTGTTTCTTTCAGTTACCAGCTCCCCCTACTCATTCGTGTTTAGCGCGTGTATTTAAACATTTTTCTCTCACAGTTCCCAGGTCTGGGAACTCTTTACTCCAGATTGTGCTAGATATGCAACAATCAGGATGGCCAGTCTCTTACTCCCAAAGCAGATTAGGAGCCCGAGTGAATTGGAAGGCTTAGAATTTCAAACAATGCTGCAAAATTTACTTTGCTATCTGGAAATGGTAAAGGAAATACAGGTTAGCTAACGAGACCTTGCTCAGCAGTCAACTCAATTTCCCTTCCTGCCAAGGCTTGACTCTTTTTCCAGTCAAATACAATGATCTAATCTTGACTGAGTTCTTGGAGACTTCTCAAAAACACACTGACCATTTGTGAAAATATGCTAATCAGGAGAAAAAACAACCTGCTGCTCTAGAAGGGAAAGAAGAGGAAGGGGCAGAAGAAAAAAAGACCACATGACAATGAAACCTTTTTAAAGTAAGCAGGAAATAGTTATAGAAGCCACAGTAGCAGAACTCTATGGAACCAGGTTAATTAGACCACACTGCAAAATATCTTTAAGTTCATTAAGTTTCGGTGGTACCTGGAAAAGTTTTGAAAATGTCAGAATCTTCAAGAAATAAAAATAAAGGAAAAAGGCACTACTGATCTCAAAGCAAGGGAAACCAACAGTTCAGGATTAAGAGA